TCTTTTGTTTTACTTACCTTTAACTTAGTTGTTTTTTAAAGATGTTGGCATGTTATAAAATTTTTATAATTTATCTTTCACAATATGGCAATTTGCCTAATACTTATGCTAAATATGCTTGATCTTATTTTACACATACATTGACAATTCATGGATTTAGGTTCAAATTTTTCTATTACAATGGTTAAAGGAAAGCATTCTAATTCGAGAGGTCAATCAATAGTTGTGTCAAGATCTATACCTATGCCTACGGAGGCTACATCTTTGATCAATGAATCCACAGAGATAAGAGTGAATTGCCAATCATCGACTCATGAAGCCACCCTCTTTAATTGATCCATCAACTAAGCCAACACTGAATGTGACCTTGGCTTTTGGTTTTCGTGGACTTTCGACCACAATTAGAGGTGACAGTGAAAGTGCTACCTCCACAAGATTGAGGACTAGAGGACCTATTGTAGGAAGACCAATGCCAACAGATCCAATCCAAAGGTTATGTCTAACACTTCTTGGAGAAAGTCATGTTAACTTATTAACTCAATTAATTATATAATTCACTATCTAATAACTTTCTTTTATTATGTGATAGTACTTTCTTAAAGATAAGGGTCACCACATCCATCATTAAAGTAGTCAAAAGTCATTTTAATTGTCGGTGGCCAACATGGAAGAAGGTGCCTGATGATGTTAAGGAGTTAATATGGAAGAAGTTAGGAGGTATTAACTGTGTTGTTGAATTAGACAAATAATTTGTTTGTTTTCACTTATATATATAAAGATACTGATCATAATATTTTATGTTAGGATAATTTCACCTTAAAGAGGTTGAAGTGGTTCAATGTATGTGGGAAAGATATGCAAGGATCTATTGAAAGACATGTTGGAAGAAAAGAGGAAAAATACAATGGTAGAGGTTAGTGTCACTAACAATAAAGGTTGTAAAGGCATGTCTTGGCTGTGGATCTCAACTTTGAGGTACCCTTATTGATGATGAATGGGGTGCTGAAAAGAATAACTAAACCATGAAAGCAAAAGAAAACCACTTAACACAAAAAGAAGAAAGTATAACGAAGCACACTAGTAGCTCAATATCTTTTCTTGTTTATGCAAAGAGAATGGTATGAACTATTTTCACTAGTTTATTTTTAAAAAAAAATATATGTTCCAAAAGCTAAATATGAGTCTTAAAACCTTCAAGAATCTACCTTTCTTCCATAAGGATCAACCCTTGCTACCTTAACTTCCAAAAATGCATTTTTTGGGTTCCGTTTTTCTCCAATTCTTTCAACAATCATCCTTCAACAACTTTAAACATTATTTGAAGAGAAATTTAAAGACTTCTTGGTTAGGAATCCCTTCCAACAACTCATAAATAAATAGCTCAATTTATATGTATATATATATATATATATGGAAAAAAGTTTCCAACTTACACTTAGATGCCAAGTTAGGGTTTCACAACTACATGGAGACTTTTGTTCCAATTATGAGACATGATACTATAAGGCTTCTAACAACCTTAGCTATCAGTGAAAGTCGGAAAATTTGGTGCCTAGATGTGAAATATGCTTTCTTGAATGGCATCATAATTAAAGACATTTTCATTGAGTAACTTGAAAGTTATGTTGAGAAAGGAAATGAAGATAAAGTCTATAGACTTGTGAAAGCTCTTTGCGGACTTAAGCACACACCTAAGGCCTAATATGAATGAATTGATAGTTACTTAATGGATAAAGGATTCAAGCGTAAGAACAATTAACCTACTTTGTTTGTTAAAAACTTGAATGTGGTCAATTAATTTCATAGTATCACTTTATGTTGATGATCTTTTTGTTACAAAGCCAAGGAGCTATATGGTGTGTGACTTCAAAACTCAAATGGGACTTGAGTTTGATCTGACATATCTTGGAGAAATGAGCTACTTTTTAGGTATGGAATTCAATCAAAGCTCTAATTGCTTATATCTTCACTAAAAAAAATATGCAAGGGCTCTCTTAAAAGGGTTTCATATGGAAAACAATAAAGTTGTAGACACTCCACTAGCTTTTAGAAGCAAGTTTTGTAAAAGTGATGCATTAGTAGAAACAAATAGATCAACTTACAGGAGTTTGATTGGGAGCTTGTTATACTTAATAGCTTTTAAACTCCATATAATGTACACTGTTAATGTTTTGTACACTGTTAACGTTTTTTCAAGGTATATGCAATCACCTACTAAGATTCATATATCACTTACTAAAAAGGTTCTTAGATACTTTTTTTTTTTTAAAAAAAAGGGTTCTTAAATACATCAAAGGAACTGTAGATTTTGGCCTTAAATTTTGCAAATAAGACAATAAAGAACTTTTGGGTCATTGTGACAATGATTGGGCAAGGTGTCTTGATGACTCAAAAACCATTAATGGCTTTTGTTATTCTCTCGGGAATGTAATGTTTTCCTAAAACTCCAAGAAATAGAAGGTAGTCGCTCAGTCTTCAATTGAGGTTGAGTACATTGTAATAGCCTTTATTGCAAATCATGCTCTGTGTCTCAGGAAAGTACTTAAAGTCTAGGTTTTAAGCAAATAACGAGCACTGAAATGCAATTTGGCAATCAATTAGCCATTTCAATTGTAAAAAACTTAGTGCAACATGGAAGAAAAAAACACATTTGTGTTAAGGTTCATGCTCTACGAAAAGTAATGAATGATAGAGAAATTTGTCTCGAATATTGCAAGATTAATGAACAACTAGCAGATATCAGTCATTAAAGGCTTAAATTGTTGGATAGTTTGTAATATTTGAGAGTCTCATATTAGAAGATAATTATTCAAGATGTGATTGGTCAAATTAAAATATAACTCTTTAAATAAATAGGAGTGTTTTCAACAAACGCAACAGACACAACTTTTCAGTATCTGTGGAAAAGTAAAAAACTTTCAATGCTGACTTCAACCTTTAAAAGCATTCTACAATAAGCTTCTTGTATCCTAAGAGGTCTTTGTTTGTAAATCCCTATAGAACTCTTTAAAGGCAATGCATTACAACATGCTTCAAGCTTTTTTACTTAAGTTTTTTGTACTACTTTCTAACATAAACAAGGAGAAATTTGTTCTTCTAAGGTCGAAATTAGATATTTGCAAGATAGACACGAAGGAGGTGTGTTGAATTTGGTCTCTATCTTAGCAAAATGGTACACATTGGTTCTATGATGGAGGCTCGCGCCAAGGAAGTTCAAACTACTTGAAGAAGAAGTCGCGTGTTAAACTACATGTGACTAATTAATTCGAATTTTAGTTTTATTTTTATTTTATTTTGTGTTGTTTCCATTATGGCAGTGTTGTGTGAACAAGCGGTAGTGTCCCATTGGATTTCGAGTACTAGGTACCAAGCGTTGGTGCGATGTGCCTCTTTTGTTTTATTAGTACTAAAGGTAAACCCGGGCGTTGCACACAGTTAGTAGCAGACTTGTTTTAATAGTTGCTTTTATATTTTTTTTATTTTAATAATTTTTAGTGGGTAAGTAATGATGGAACTTGCTATAGTTAAAATCACATATACAAATTGTTAGAGGTGTGATGTTAAAATGCAGACCAATATCATGATCATTTACACGCAACGTAAGGCTTTAGTTGAGCTTTACAAAAATAAACCTGTTTTACCTCTCGTTGAGGCTGAATTTAGTTGAGTTTTTATGACATGCTGCTACAAAATACAAAGTATAGCCAGGCACTGTGTTCAGCCCATAACCTTTCCCTCCATCACCCCACCCAAAAGAAAAAAAAAAGTAGACACTTTTTATTGCTTCTAATTTACATGGGAAAACAATACCTTTCCCAAACCGTTGGCTCCATTGGATTCATGACCTTGGCATTCTCCTGGCAATATAACTGATGATTATGTACTTTTGATGCTAAAATCAAAGTGGGTTCATCGTGTACTTATAACCTAACATTTTAGCCTACTTCAATTAACAAAAAATAGGATAAGATTAATTGCTTATAATATTTTCACTGTTCTTCTACTTTATCTCATAATTCTTTCTTGGTTCTTGTATTCTTTGTACAACTTAACACAGACATTTCCATTTATTTAATTAAATCCAAGGCAATTCAAACCAATAATATTAAAATTCTTTCATAGTCTTTTGCTGATGTGTTCTATTCTTTTCTTGCTCTTTGTAGGAAGTTCTTTATGTTTTGCTTGGTAGTCATGCCAGTTATTGTCCAAATCTTTCCATTAAAATGGCATTTTAAGGAATTATTTGTTTTTAAAATTAAAAAAACCTAAAAAAAAAAATTACTTCTTGAGCGGTTGTGTACTTGTGATGGCTCTATTCTTTACTGTTGCTTTTAATAATTTACCAGGACTACAGCCAACCCTAGGGAGCATTCAAAACCCTTGCCCATACGGTCCACTCAATTTGGTAATCTTGTTGCAAGCCTCATTCAAGTTTTCACAACTCCTCTGGAAGCTTCTACGTGGCAAGTGTCGAAGCCCTGTTGGGGCTTCTATACAGTACAGATGATTTATCGTTATGCTGTGAACATCTTTCACTCTCTTGTGCCCATGTAATGCCTTTAAAAAGGAAAAACAATACAAGCAGAAACACGGTGAAAAGCTTTCTCTCTCTACCGGTCTCATTTGCTCTCACTAAAAACTCTCTGTCTCTTTGCTCTGAGTATTAGAAATACTTTAATTTCATCAAAAAGGCGTCACATAGCATGGCTAAAAGGTTAATAAAAATAATGATGCGGTGAGCTTTTTGTGATATTGTTCACATTTAAATAGACTAGGATTTTCACACTCATCAGGATTGCACAAATCCTACAGACAAAGGATATGGGTTTTCAACGTGTTGTGGACCAAATCAGGACTGGTACAAATGAATCTTTGACCTGGAGGTTTGGACCTCTTCCTGTCTATGACTAAATCAGGATACTTAATTGTTTTGAGTGCTATCTTAAATTCCTTGTTCCTATATGTATATCATTACAAACACACAGCAAGAAATCTGACTCTCAATAAAGGGTTGTCTTCATATTCCTTGATAGACATATATTGCATTCACCACTGTGAAACTCAGAGCTTCAAACTCCTACAGCATACTTGGAAGCAAAACAAATTAAGCTAACATTTCTACTATTTTGACCTTGCGGTGTTATCTGTTATATGGTGACAGAAGTTAGAGGGAAAAAATATTAACAACAAATCAAGCCAGAAGCCACATGAACAAGGTTGACCAAAGTGTGAGGGAGAATGAAGCCATGGCATAAGTCCATAGCATAATCACAGAACTTTCACTCTGACCAAGCCGAAAAAACTGTGTTATTGTACCTGCCAAAGTTCATCAGAGTAACAAGGAATAAGAAAACAGTTACATCAAAATGCCTGCTACTAAAAATTTACTGCTGTGGTCATGCAAATTGTTGTGCTGCTGAAGAGAACATTAGCTTTGCTTAACACATTACAGCTTAAAACATATAGGATGAGTTTTACAGTTTGTCCTGTCTAGACGGGACAGGGTAGTTGTAACTAAACTCATTTACAATGTAAAGTATATCAATATTTCAATCAGGATGGTTAGGAGGGACATTGAGATTGGATGGGGGAACATAAGCTTGTCATACCTACAGCCGTTGCAGGCGGAACGGCATACTGAAGCATAAGAACAAATTGATATAATGTATCTGATCCAACCATGCCGAAACGGTTTGCAACTTTAACAACACCAATCCCCAAGAGAGGCAAGAACATGTTCCTCACTGCTAGAATTCCAACAATGACAGATATACTTACATTTGATCCTTTTAGACCTGCAACAACAAGCTTTAATGATTTTATCTCTTGATGAGAGAAATGTTTTTGTGATGATTCAAGGTGGAACTACAATGACCAAAACCAAGCATGCTAAAGCTTTAGAATCAGAACAGGGAAGCACCTCTCAGAAGGTTTGCCCCCAGTATCAAAGTCAAGCATGGAATTGCTGCCTGCCTGCACATGAGAAATATGTTTTTTTTAATACAAAAGAGTACAATCACTTTATCAGAAGCTAAAAAGCAGGATGCCTAACAAAACGTACCCCAACAAATATGCAGAAGTATCAATTACATGAAGAGGAGCGTTTTCACCAATCATTAGTTTTCTGATTGGAGAGACTATGCCGATGATAAAGCCGACAATCTGAAGGGGAAAAGGAATAACAAGAAGACACATGTTTTCTGCTAGATTGTGAGTGGCTTAAGACTAGTTGCTCTAAAATGAAATATTTGAAGATGCAGGGATGCTGCAGATATAAGCATTGGGCCATACCGCTGCAATTGCTGTTGGTGCAAACACCTTCTTCAGGTCAATCTTTCCCATAATCATCTTAATGCGCTTGAAAATCGGTATCTGTTCATAAATGTTAATAAGATTATCAATCAAGTACAAAAGAGAAATTTACTGTTTCTAGTAGGTATTGGATGAGCATTAAGCCAGTTAAAAAAATAGGATAAAATCACCAAGATTCACAAAATGATATATATATATATAAACAGGTTACAACTAAAGATAGAATTATTTTGGGATTAAAATAGATTCGGTATAAACCTTTCCTCCTGCAGACGTGTTGAGAAGCAGTTCATCTTGCGCTGTGTAGTCGTCAGAACTGTGGCAATCCATTATAGGTAGAAAACCTTCACAACTCTCCGAAAATGTTTCAGACCCAGAGTTGTCTCTGGGTGAATTCAGGCTTATGGCTGAATACATGCGCATGACACTATACACATATGACCATATAAAAATGGCTCCTACCTGTAGGTTCAAGCAGTAAATTGAAGTTAGTATATGAATTTATTTTCTATTCTGAATGGGGAGAAGTAAGGAGATAACATCTACCCTTTAGCCTCTTTTCTGCTTTGGTATATCCTCTTGGTTACTGATAAAATTTCATCTTCGCTAATAATATCAAGACCATACAAAGTAAAAGAAAACTTCAAAAATCCTAAAAATTAGACTCATATGTGGATCATACCGCCATAGATAGTGAAGCATAAGCCTCAGCATGTGTAGAGCAAACAGATGAATCTCCAAAGGGATTATTTGACTCCTCACAGGCTGCTGGAATCATAATGAGAAGCAGGTTCCCCATATTTCCTGAGCAAGTTTTCCAGCAGAACCAGAAAGTAAATAACACCAATCGTTGAATATATAAGAAAAAGGAAATATATACCTGCAGAACAGCAACCGATGACCATGCCCTGAAGGTGTCTGGGAGTTTTAGTGATTTTTATGAGAAGCCAAGCCAGTGCTGAGCCAAATATGAACGTTATAAAAATATTCACTGGCATGAACCACCTGGATAGAAACAAGAAATAAATTGAACCATCGCTCCTAAGATTTTCCAAGGATGCAGAGACAATTAAGCATAAGAGAAACAAGGTAAAGGATGGAATGGAACTAACAAGGTAACAAAACTTTCGAAAGTGATGGTTTCAGCCAAGTTGCTGGCGACGAGTGCAGGACCCAACACATAAAACACTATCTGTAAAGAAAATCCAATAGGGTGAAATGTATCTTTGGTTTATAACTCCTCTTCATATGAACCTAGCAATCATGCAACAAGCAAAGCATCCAAAAACCAAAGTTCTTTTGGTTAAAAAAGTAATCAAGTATATTTAATTGACCATCAAGGACTAGTAAATCCTAAACATTTAGGATCAAATAAGCCCAAGATGGTTGTCAGATTAACATTTTGGTAACCAGTCAATTGTAGATTCCAAAGGGTTTTATGTAACAAAAGATAGTAAAAGAGAAAGGAGGAAAGCATTTCTATATATTTACGTTGTTCAAATGGTGTCTTGCCTCTGACCCCAATAAATTTATGCGATCCAAAGCAAGGAACAAACCAACACCAGTAACCAATATTACTTTCAGAACTGGCATCACTGCCACCGTGAAGAGATCCAGAAATCCCATTTCCAATACCCTGTTCCTGAAAATGGAGGAGACAATACTTCCTACAGTTAAGAAAAGTAATCAAGGAGATATACATATATATACACACACACATTAATGTGATCAAACTATCCTTAACACAATGGAAAGAACATGAATAACACTATCCTAATAAAAGCTGCAGCTTCACAGAAGAAATGAGAAGATCAATGCACTCACCTTTTACATGCAGAAGCTAGCCCAGTAACCTTTGTGAACTCCAAAGGCAAGAACTCCGGAAACCTCTACTTATACTAGGTTTTTTTTTTAATTTTTATTTATTTGTAATAGTTGCGTTACCACTTTTTTTGTATTAATATTTTTATGCAAGAGTACAGTGCATGTGTAACGCCTCAAGTAACAAATAAAACATTACCACAATACTAATAATAGACGAGCAACACAATTCAAGTCAATAATAATCACGATACAATAAATATTCCAAGCCTATCAAGCAAACAGAGTAAAAAATAAATCGATAGATATCACAGGCATCATCAGAAAAAAAAAATAAAGAACGCTAAATATATGTGGAAAATCCTCTAGTGTATAGGGAAAATCACGAGGCAAATTAGATAAATTTGTTTTACGATAAATAAACAAACTTACTAAATTCAACATCTTAAATTTTTTTATCAAAACTTAAGATGGAAAATAATTGAAACAATACAACGAAATTATCTTTTCAAGAATTACCAAGTCTATTCCCTAAAGAACCCAATAGTTGAATAAATTTATCTCTCCCTTTGCTCTCTCTATGGAGCATGAAATTCTTCTTTTCTTTTTTTCTTGACCAGAAAAGGTTAGAGGGTACCACATACTCCATATATATTTAAAAATAATAATAAATTAATATGATAAATAAAAAACATGATATTCTAATCTCGATTATAAAATTTAAAAACTTCATTCAACGATATATAAAATAATCGTCCTTCTTTACAAATATCAAAATATTTGCATTTCGATAAAAGTGAATGTCAATTAAAAGTTTTTAAAATTCTTATATTTATTATGTTGCAAATTAGACCAGTGATACTGCCCCCCACCACACACAAAAAAACAAGAAGAACAAAAAGAAGAAGAAGAAGAGAAAAGCTATGTGTTTTATATTATATCCCATCAACTTTTTTAATCTTGGCTCCACCGGTGGTTACAGCACATGATGATTTATGCAAAACGAAAGGAGGAAAAAGACAATACGAGTTCTTGCAAATGAGTTTATAATTGATCTCATGATAGTTGTTTTAGGTATACTAATAAACTGGTCAGTTGCTCGGGTAATGCAAGGGATCTTTCCACTTTATTTAATTTTCACACAGTTAGAGCCAATCTATTTCTATGTGTTTTGTTTGTTTGCGAAAAATTGAATTTGCTGCTATGTGACTAGCAGCTTGGTTGTTACAGAACAAGAGAACTAGTGCAATGTGTATCACTCTAAGATCTCGTAAGAGTCGTATTAGTCAAATGATCTCACTAGTTGTAGTGGCCATGGCTCGGTATTCAACCTCAGCAGATGAACAGGAAACCACCATTTGTTTCTTGGATCACCATGAGATAAGAGAAAACCCAAGAAAGATAATATAGCCAATAGTAGATCTACATGTCATCATACATTTTGCCCATTTTGCATCATAATGTGCTTACAAAGACAATGAACCATATGAAGGAAGTAAGATGCCTTGTCTTGGGGTTCCTTTGAGATAATGCAACACCTTATGAGCAGCATCAAGATATGGTTATCGTGGGGCATGCATAACCTGGCTAAGAATATGTACTGCATAGCTAATATCTGGACGAGTGATGGTGACATAAAGTAAATATTATGAAAATTACCCAAGAAACAGCAAAGATAAAACTTAGAGAAATCAAGTAAACAGAAAAACACAAGAATTTACGTGGTTCGGCCTCTTGCCTATGTCCAAGGAGTGAAACTATTCTTATATTATTGAGAAATTAAAGTATAATAAATTGACCTCTATGGCTTCCCAAACCAACCCAATATCTCTTACACACTCTTTCTCAATAATCTCCCAAGAACACTCACCCAAACCACTCTAGCTCCATCTAGAGCAAAAGACAGAGTTACAAAGTGTCCCTTCTCTAGAGCTCTCAAAACACTACTTACAATTCTAAAGCCTAGAGATCTATTTTTATAATATAAAAGTTCAAAGTAGAATGTGATTAGGACTATATGTGGAATAAGAAGTTTAAAACCATACAACTACTTAATGTTGTACATAAACAAAAATTCTAATCAACCTAGTTCTAGAATTCTAGTCAACCTAAAACTCAACAAATCTCCACCTTTGACTTGAATTCAAACTCCTTAAACTTCTTCCACTAGTCGCACCCAATTGCAACTTTCTAACTCCGCCTACTTTTCAACACTTTGAACAACTCTCCAAGCACAAGACTTTTCAAATAATTGACCTTTATAATTGTCACGACTACACATATCGAATCAAGCATGGTCCAACACTCGATTCCACAAAATGGCCAATGTACTTGTGTAACCGTCAAGTCAATGGCACTAATTGACTTAGGAAAGGGACCTCGAAAACCCTTCCAATTCACCACTAGCAAGATTTTTCATCCTTTCACCATCGTCTACACCATGGGAACCTTTTATCACCTCCTCGGCAAATGAAATCTCACTTTGGTAGCTACCATCTCCTGTGCACTACTCCCATCCCTTCCAGGCCTCACATTCAGACGATATAAGCCATTATACAGATTCTCCCTCATCAAGACCATGTCGCCTTATGTGACTTTTACCACTCCATCATAAACAGAATATCCATACCCTTTGGAGTCTAACAGGGTCAATGATATTATATTCTTATGCATCTTTGGGACATAGGCCACACCACCTAAAGAGCACACAACCCCATCAAATATTTTGATTTTTACTACTCCAAGACCCATGACTTTCACTATTGACTTATTACCTAAAGTCAAATTCCCAACCACCCCTTCTTGAAGTAAATCAAAACAATCCTTTTGATAACTTATGTGAGCGATGGAAGCAGAATCTAAATACCAATCAAAATTTGCATCCATATTTTTTGAGATTATAAGGACATCACAATCATCACCTTCAGCAACGAAAGCACACTCACCTTTACTCTCGTTACTTCATCCCCTTTTGTAGGACAGTCCCTTTTAATATGTTCATACCTTTTGCATCGAAAGCACTAAACATTATTGGATCTGGACTTGCCACCCTTAGATCCCTTATCGGTTGACTTCCTCCTACGAACCTTAGTTACCAATGCCAAGCCACTTGGATCTCTATCCCCTTCCTTACTTTTCTTTCGGGCTTTATGAGATATTAATGTTTCTTGTACTTATTCTAACGTTATTGTATCCATCCCACATATCAGAGATTCCACAAATACCTCAGAGGAGTTTGGAAGTGAAGCTAGGAACAATAGTGCCTTTTCCTTTTCCTCCACTTTCGCATCAACCTTCTTCAATTGATCAATGATCTTGTCGAATTCATTCATATGCTTCATGAGGTCTCCATTCTTTTTCATTTTTAAGCGATACAACTTTCGCCTAAGTTGCAACTTGTTAGAAAGGCTTTTCGCTAAAGAAATCTTCTCTAACTTTGCTCACAACCTTGGAGCAGAATTCTCATCAATAACATGGTTAAACACGTTATCTCCAATGCAAAGCCG